AACCCAGTAACTTAAGACGACTAAAATCCCGAACTATATACTTGAAATCCCGAACAATAAACCGCCGCAATTTTATAAGTTTATTTACCAAACCACCGCTAAATACAATAAAACTGCTGCCATTTTGTAAAATTTTCCTTTTTTTAAGAAAATTTAATTTACCAAAACGCAGCTATACGCAACAAAAAAAGTCAACCAGATATGCAAAATATTTCGCGTTCATGCGGGATCCGATGAAGGCAGAGGTGGAGCGAGAATTTGAAGTTTATGGGTTCGAGAATTTAGTCTTCTTAAGTCACTGGGTTCTAAATTAATAATTTATATATATTTAATAGATTTCTTAAGATAAATACATGGTTTATATAAAAGCTACTGGGCTCGGCCGAACCCGTAGCCGAAAGGCTAGCTCCGCCTCTGGGGGAAGGACCGCAATCCAAGGGGGTATGATGTAGGCAGTTTACCCTGATGCAAAAAAAAAAAACGCAGCTAAATGCAGTATACCCAATTGAGACTTAAAGCTTGTTTGGATGTTTGTTACACATCGTTTCATAATGTATCGTATTGTATTGTACTGTATCGTTTGATGAATACAATGTTTGGATAGATTGTATGCTTTGACGTTGTTTCATGATATCATGCACCAGCAATATGAAGAATAAATTTGTAATATTAAAAAGAAAAATTACGATACGGGGTAAATTTATTATATAAAAGGTAGAATGAATGGTAAAATAAAATTATTTAATAATAGTGAAGGGTGAGATGAGAGAAAAAGACAAGACAATGACGCAACCACACCAAATCGGTCGTTACATAAAGTGACACATTTTGTCGTTACGTAACGACGGATTTAACGATACGATACAATAAAATTTAAGTAACAACCAAAACAAACATCGTATTTAAAGTAACAATACGATACAAATAATAGGTAACGACCATCGAAACAAGAAGTTACTTGTATGTTCTTTACCTCAGTTGTGATTAAGGGCCCGTTTGGCTATAAAAAAGATACATTTTATTCGAATATTTTTTCACTTTTTTTCGAAATCAGTGTTTGGCAATGAAGTTTTCGATTTTCACTTGAAAATGAATTTCGAAAATTTTCGGAAATTTAAAAAACTCCAAAAAACTATTTTTTAAAATTTTCACTTCAGATCACTCACAAAAATTCAAAAACAGCCCAAAATTATATTCATATCCACACACAACTCTAACTTTCAAATACTATTTTCACTGAGAAAAAAATCATTTTATTTTTTCCAAAATTTTACAATTCTTATGTCTAAACGCCCACTTAGTAAAACTTTTGGGAGATTATTGCAATTGAAAAATGCAAGATGGAACACAGGTCCAATTCAAATCTGTGACACTCCAAAAGTATAATAGAGTATAATAGAAATGTTGTATAATCCTAAATCGTAAGAACCCGTTTGGCCATAGATTCTGTTTATATTTTGGCAAAATTCTAAATCTTAAATCCCAATTCCCAAAATGAGCTTCATAGTTGGTTTTAGGCTAAAATATCACTATTACATTTTTAAAATTGTCTCAAATTTTTGTATTTTATAAAAGAGCCCACCATTTATTATTTTGTAACAATGTTGCTTCGTCTACTCGTTTATCTGATAACATATCATGTAGTTCATTATAAAATGATAATTTTTTACCAAATTTATTTATGTTCAGGACTATGAGTTGCGATAATATAATGAATGTTATTGATAATGGTATTGTTGAGTATTTGTGATAGTTTTTAGAACTTGTGGGTATAAGTCATATTTCATTTTTTTCAAAATAAATTTGGGAAATATGTTTTGAAAACTGACGTCCAAATACATTTTCATCTTCAAACCAACATTCACCCAAATCAAATTTTTCAAAATAAATTTAGAAATTTATGGCCAAACGCTAGCTAAGTAAGTGATTTTGACCATCTGCAAACCAATATCTTCCAAACTTTTGATATACATTTGAATCGAATTATTTCCTCTTGAAAGTGAATTCTCATGGCCTAGTTGGGACAAGGAAAATGTTTTAATTCAATATATAATGTATACAAAAACCAAGAACAAATCGCATACAGTCAGATCTTTGTATAACAACATTCTTATATAATAATACTTCACTTAAAAGGCAAGTGCCGAAAGCAACTTTCATGTTTTGTTATAATATATGTTATCTATAACAGTAATTTGTTATAACATCGAAAAATATCCGGAACAAACGAGGTTATTATAGAGAGGTTTGACTATACTACAAGACATCTATACAAACACACTTAGAATCTAAGTCCAGCCAACAACTAGAGGGGCGGAGCTAGGCCTTTGGATACAGGTTCGGTTGAACCGAGTAACTTTTGCTTAAAATTTGTATTTGTCTTTAAAAAATCATTGTATTATGTATAAATTGTTAATTTAGAACCCATTCAATTAAAAGAATTAGAATACTGAATGCATGAGTTTCAAATTCTGGTTCCGCCTCTGCCAACAACAAATCCGAAAAACTCATATGTAACACCCTGAAATCATAACTCACCTGATGATCAACGCCCATCAGCTTTGTATTACTTGACGGCTTAACAATTCTTCTCCCTGCAATTAGTTAAAATTATGGTTAGGTCCATATAGACACAGCTGAGAAATTTTCTTAATATGCCTAAGCTTTTGACGGGTAAAGTTAGGAGATAATATGTATTTGGTGGAACAATGTGTAAACATCGTTAAGAGTAAAGGCAGTCCGGTGCAATAAACTCCCGTTATACGCGGGATCCAGAGAAGAGTCGGATCACTAAGGTCTATCGTACACAGCCTTACCATACAGTTTTGCGTTTATTGACTACTTTGAAACTTCGATTTGAGTGCTGTTATGGTTTCGGTTGGATGGTAGTGATGAAAAAGGACTAGGCAATTTATGGGGATTGGGCTGGGTAACTAGGCTTTGATCCGGTAGAAATGACACCAGATAGCCACTTCAAAAGGCTGTTATTTAGGAATTAGCCCGTTCATCATAAATTTTTATTTTTCAGTTTAATTTTTTTACGATAAAAATATTCTGAAGTTAAGATTTTTAGTTTAAAATTTCAGGACAAATTATGTATTAGTTAATCTCTAAATAGCATCCCTGAAAATGACTATCTGTGCACTTTCCTTTGATTTGTGAGGATCTTTTAATTACTCCATCCGTTTCAATTTAGATTAAATAGTTTGATTTGGCACGTAGTTTAAGAAAAAAGAAGAAGACTATTGAAACTTGTGGTCTTAAAAGCTTAAGAGTAAAAACTTTGTGGAACCATGACATTTGTGTGGTTATAAAAGCTTCTCATTAAGGGTAAAATGTACGTTTAAAGTTAAATTATTTTCAGATTTAAAAATGTTGCATTTATTTTGAAACAGATTAAAAAGAAAAATAACTCATCTAATTTGAAACGGAGGAAGTAATAAAAATGCAACTAAAACCAAAATACAAAAATAAATAAAATAAGATATAATATTTTAAATTAATAATTATACATATTCAATAAATTCTTTAAAATAAATATATAATTTGGACCAGAGCCACTGAATTCGATCAAATTCGTAACTCCTGCTCTCCCTTTAATTGAAACTTCAAAAACAAAATGTTAAATGTTTTAAAAAGGACATATATGATAATGTGACATTCTCTAATTTGTGTAAAAACAAATCACTTGCGGTTATTTGTCAGTCAATCGAAGTACTTCATTATAGTTTAGTACGTTAAGGGGTCGTTTGGTAGGGTGTATAAGAATAGTACGGAATAAAATGCATTAGTAATGTATGGATTAATAATGTATGAGTTAGTAATACAAGCATTAGTTATGCAGATATTATTTTTTATCTACTGTTTGGTATGGTGTATTAAAATTATAATGCATTGCATAATTTTTTTTAGAAAAATAGTTATTTACAAAAATGCCCTCCATATGCTCTAGCTTTAAGGGACTTTAAGGACAATTTTGTCTTTAACCAAGCTAATGCATGCATTAATAGCCTTGGTATTACTAATGCCATGGTTTTCTATGTATTACTTATGCATAGGATAATGCCAGGTTTGATGTATAACTAATACGAGTTGAATTAATTATACACAGGTTGAAAAAATATATCAAACAAGGTATTAGTAATGCATAGAGCTAATACTTGCATTATCATTTCTAATACCTCCTACCAAACGACCCCTAATAGTTTAACAACAGGTCGCTCTACCAGCGACCTACCTGCTTAATAATAAAATTTATTTTTCAAGAAAAATGAGTGAATAATTTGTTTATTCAAACTTCATTTGTATAAAATTATGATTTAATAAAGATGGAGTCTATGCACAATTAAGTTTCATACAAAAAGGGTAATGAGAGAAACCTAATATATCTCATTTCCAACTAATTATCATTATCATTTGAAAGACTAACAAAGTTTTGGGAAAAAAACTCACACAAATAAGATAACCCAATCTTAAATATACATAAAAACGGTAGCCCAGTGCACCAAGCTCGTGCTATGCACGGGGTTTGGGAAGGGCCGGACCCTCAGTGATTTGAAAGGGTTAAATATCAACGCGATCATGAGATGTCATGGAAGTGACCTGGCTTTTATTTGCCTCACTATCAGTGACCTCCACCTCTAGGGCGACCTCTAGCTGTCTGGGCGGTGGTGAAGTGACTGGGGCTGAAGTCGAGACCACAAGGGTCTGTTGTATAGGGTCTGTTGTATGCACTCTTACCCTGCATTTCTGGAAGAGGTTGTTTCCACGGCTCAAACCCGTGACGTCCTGATAACATGGCAGCAACTTTACCTGTAACGCCCAAGGCTCCTTCCAATCTTAATATACATGATACAATAAAATAATTTATGAATTTTAGCAGACCATTCACAATACACTGTTAGATATCATATAACAAGGATTACATCAGATGTAATAAGTATACCATATATACAAGTTGTAGTTTACTAACCTATTGGAGAAACCAAAAGTCTGATCAATAATACAGTGACAATGTTTATTGTTGGTTATAAAAAGAGTCAGATCAGACATGTACAGGTATAGATGAATTCATTGATACACAGCCTTTCAATCGTTCAAGAATGGCGTTTCGACTCACAAGTCTTGAATGGAGTGTCAATGGAAGCCCTTCTTTGACACATTCGTCGTATTTCTCTAATGCAGATACAATGTCTGTGAAGTCTGGCCTCTTTGAAGGGTTCGCTGCCCAGCAGCGTTTTATGAGATGCGCGAGTGCTGGTTGACAACTCGCGGGCAAAGGTGGTCGTTCATTCTGCAAAATAGTGAAAGAAAGATATTAAAACAGATGAAATTCCTTCAAGTTTTATGGAGGTATCAAGAAGGTTGCATCAGAATAGAAATGAAAATGGTTCAATGAATCTCAGGCTTCTAACACATTTGACCAGGCGATCAAACAGAATTACAGTCGCTAGCCAAATATACAATAGATATACATTGGCTATGTATAAATTAATATACGATATACATATTAAGGGTGGTCGTTCGTTCTGCAAAATAGGGAAAAGAATGATATAAAACAGATGAAATTTCCTCAAATTTTATAGAGGTATCAAGAAGATTGCATCAGAATAGAAATGAAAATGGTTCAATAAGTCTCGGGCTTTTAACACATTTGTCCAGGGCTCCAAGCGGTCAAAAATAATTACAGCAACTAGCCAAATATACAAAAGATATACCCTGAATATGTATAAAGTAATATTTATATTGTACTTAATATACAAAAGATATACATTTCCGCGCTGGCTATTGTTTTGGGAGGTGAGTATAAATGTGTAAAGCCAAGTGTAATGTGTTGTAATAGTACGTACTTCTAGGCTCCTTCCCGGCTACTGGATCACTCCAGTGCTTCAGGTACTATGGACTATCTGTCATCCATTGTAACAGAGCCATTTCATTAGCGAGGGTGCCTAAGCGCAATTCTTTGCTTTCGCTTCTGATGAGAATCAAGTGCAGTCAGACTTCTCTATAACATTTATATATAACAATCATTCATTATAAAAGCCATGTTTTTCTCGGACCGGTTTTTATATTATGTTATAATATATGTCCTCTATAACAACACTTCACTATAGCAACCAAAAAATATCGGAACAAACAAGGTTGTTACAGAGAGATTTGACGTATTAGATAAAGGTACACGACGATATTAGTACTATGACCTCCTCCTTTTGGTTGAGAACAGATCTTTCTCCATAACATTTTGAAGATGAATTATTCTTGTTAATAAGTTCCTCAAATTTTCAATGAATAACAACAACAATAACAAATCCAATAGTTTCACACAAGTGGGGTCTGAGAAGGGTAAGATGTACGCAGCCTTACCCCTACCCCTGGAAGGGCAGAGAGGCTATTTCTGATTGACCCTCGGCTAGAAAACAGCTGAAAAAGAAAAGGTAATTGCAACAAGATAAAATAAGATCGAATCCAAGAATACAGTTAAACTCTACATAGTAATAGCAATCTATGAATAAAAAGATATCATGCTAATACTAATGCTAACGAACTGAATAAGACAAAGAGAAACGCTGACTGCCTAAAGTAAAACAAAAATATATGCAGAAGTCTAACCTTCTCAGCAACAGCAAATGCAGCTTGCACGGGCGTCATTCCTTGAAATGGCAACAGAGCTGTTGTTAGCTCCCAAAGCACAATTCCAAAGCTATACACATCAACTTTGCGCGTATAAGGTTTTTCCTTAATCATCTCTGGTGCCATCCAACGATACGTTCCCATATTTCCTTTAGCTTCTCGACACTGTGTTTCAAGACATGATGTCCCAAAATCAGCAACCTTGACACGCATTTCGTCGTTCAGAAGTAAATTACTTGATTTAAGGTCTCTATGGATAACTCCCTGTGAATGCAGATACGCCATCCCTCGCGATATATCGAGAGCTAACCTCAGAATTGTTTCGATTGAAAGTGAATAAGGCTCTTTCTTGTTTAGATACATTCTCAATGTTCCTTGTGACATGTATTCCATAATAATGCAGTATACAGGAGGCTTTTTACAAGCAGCAATGAACTGTAGATAAAAGATGATATTTTGTAAGCAAAACTGTGTCATTAGGCAAACATTTGACAATAGATTATAGAAGTTGCACAAGTTTATGGAATCCAAATTGACAGTCTAATTCACAGATATAAAAATTAGAAACAAGAAAAGCTATAAACTTGAAAGATCCCACACAACCTATGTTGCTCTGACTCTAGAAAAATGCCGCCAGGTGCGTGTCGAATCCTCCAAAAGTAGTGCATTTTGGAGGATCTGATACGGGTGCGGCTGGAGAGTCTACACAGTGTAGCACACAGCAAAACCGCTCAATGAATAGTATCTTTGTTTATACTGCCCATTTAGGAAGCCTAAATAATCAAGCTCATGCCTTTTGTTTTTTAGTAAGTAACAGTCAAGCTCATTCTCAACATAAATATGAATTGCACTCAGAGGCGAAGCTATGTATGGCCGAGGGTGGTTAACTGAATATCCTTCGCCAAAAAAATATGCTATGTATAAGGTAAAATATTACTACTTGTTATTGAATTTTCTGGCTTCGCCACTGATTAGCGTGGGCAAACTACACAGATCTTGTTTTTATTTTCTCAAGAAATGCAAAGAGCAACCGCCTATTTCTTTTTTGCTTTTTCGATGTTGCTGATGGTCGAGGACAGCATGTTGAGTTTTGACAGCTGAACATTAAAAGATGGAAGATGCATTTGAAAATCAGAATCTTCCTAGAGACAGAACACGGGGAACTTCATCCGCGCAGAACAACTAAAGCTGTAGCTAAGCCAGAGTTATGACGAAATTAAGTACAATCAAACCTCTCAATAACAACCTCGTTTGATCTGAATATTTTTGGATGTTATAACGAGGTGTTGTTATAGAGAACATAACATGAAAATTAGTTCCGGAAAAAGATTGGCTTTTATATTAAAGTGTTGCTATATATGAATGGTATTATAGTAAGGTCCGACCGTATTTAGAACAAGGGAGAAACTATACATGAAGAAGTAAATACTTAGAAACAAGACAAATACTAGACATCAATGTTTGTGTGCTAAGAAAAAACCTTGTGTTACAAACAGGTAATGTCACAATTCTCTAGTCACCCTGTGTGGCATATTTGGTTAGTTGATTCTTTTTGAAATACAGTAATAAACTGACCACTTAGCTTCTGCAACAGCATAATAATTCACTTCTCAGAGAAAATTTCTACTGTTCCAACTACAAGAATACAACTAAACATGAGACAAAAATCGGATTTCATTCCATCTGCCTAAGTCTTGGCGGATAGAATTATGTAGCACATGTGCTAGTGAGAGATAAAAGTACCAAATAAACATGATACAACAACAGGGTAATATATACGTACGCAGACCTTATCCCTACCTTTAAGAAGGCAAAGAAAATACAATACTAACACTAAGTAATGCACCAAAACTAGGCAATCCGGTGCACTATGCTCATGCTATGCGCGGGGTTGGGGGAAGGGTCGGACCACAAGGGCCTATTGTACGCAACCTTACCCTGCATTTCTGCAAGAGGCTGTTACCACGGCTTGAACTCGTGACCTCCTGGTCACATGGCAGCAACTTTACCAGCTACGCCAAGGCTCCCTTTCGGACAGATAAACACGATAAATAACATAAAAGAGCATAAGTATGATTACAAGTAAACATGATAAATAACATAAAAAGAGCATAAGAATCAAACAACAACGACGACAACGACCCAGTAAAATCCCATTAATGGGGTCTGAAGAGGGTAGTGCGTACGCAGACCTTACCCCTACTTCGAGGAGTAGAGAGGCTGTTTTCGAAAAACCCTCGGCTCAAAAAGACGAAAAAAGACAATATGCAATACCACCAATAGATACCATAAGAAAATATTCGAGAGATATAATCGAGAGAGCAACCTGAACTATATTGGGATGATATAATCGAGAGAGCAAACGAACTTCAGACTTAAACTGCTGTTCAAGTTTAGCTCTTGTTTCCTCCTTATGAGTTGGAATCCTAACCATTTTAACAGCAACTGCTCTCTGCTTATAAATTCCTCTATAAATCCTGCTATGTGCCCCTGAAGCAAACTTATTACCTATAAATAGCTGAGACAATTCAGCTGTCCATTCTTCTTGATCCTCTTTAGAAACTTCCCATGTTTCAACATTATCAGATTCTAATATCATTGACCATGATTCTAAACTATCAAATCTTTTCTTGTCCATTGTTTCTATATCAGATGAATTCCATTGATTTCTTGATGAAGATGAAGGCATTTCTATTGGTTTACTCTTTGACCTCCTAAGCCTAAAGGGGTTAAAACAAGTAGCCATTTGGGAAAAATAAAATTGACAAAACCCCTTTAAACAACAACCCAACGGGATCTCACAAGTGGGGTTTGGAGAGGTAATGTGTACGCAGACCTTACATCTAGCCTGGAGGGCAAAGAGATTGTTTCCGAATGATCTTCGGCTCGAGAGGAAGCATAGAAACGAGTAAATAACAACAAGAAGGCCAAGAAAACGATACCAACAATGTAAGAACTGGAGAAAAACAAATGGAAGAAAGCAGTAACGATAGTAACAAGCAGTAACACAACAGGGTACTAGAAAACCCTAATATTGGCACTCTAAGAATCGAAGACAAAAAGTATCAAAACACACTTTCAGAAGGTGTTTTTTCTTCTGAATGTGTGATTTGATTTCAAGAAATGCATGAACTGATTTAGAAACATGGGTTCCAAAGGGTAAACTTAAATTCATTAATCTATCATTAAAAACAAATCATTAAGCCATTACACCTATAAAGTTTTTCAACCGTGCTCGAAGATCAAGAATCAGTCTTTCATTGTTAAATAGACTGGAAGTCTTTAGCTAGTGCGCTGACAACGTTTTTTTGCCTTAACCTAAATAAAGACAGAAGGTTTTAGGAAAGTTGACGTTAAAAAACAAGAAAGGAATAAGCTTTGCATGATTAAGGAAAGAGAAATTTCAAGAACATTGAAGAGTAAAAATTACAAGAAAGAGCTATGGAAAAGGAAAAAATGATGAAGATGAGGTAGAAAAGATTTCATGGTTATAAAAATTGAAAGAAGAATAGCCATAAAAATGGAGTCCTTTTTTTTGCAGAAGTAGCCTGTGAAAGTTGCATGAAACTTTTGGAATAGTCATGTTGAGAAGAAAAAAGAAGTTAGTTTGGTTTGGGAAAAAAAAAAAGATGAATGTCAAAGCAATAATTTCAAAGGAGTCCCGTGAATTCTTGGTTCAAGATCAAAAGCTTTTTAAGACTTGACATAGAAAAAGTAAAAGAAAAAGGAAAAGGAAATGAAAATGCTTTTTTTAGAAGGAATCCAAGTCTTCTTCCTTCTTCTTTTCAATCCATCAATGGTAAATTGCTTTTAAGTGGCCATATTGTTACAACCACAAATTTTAGAGAAATTAATTTAAGCACATTTATAAAAGAACGGGTGACGCGGGTTCGATCCCACTCAATGCTCTTTTGGTCTGAGCCTGTCATATGAGACTTGTCTAGTGCGGTTTATATTCCCTGTGTAGATTGCAGACTATTACACAGTGGAGGATTTATCTAATGCGCACAGAGTACTCACCCGAATAACAAAAGCTGTGGCAGAAAACTTCTATATTAGAACAATATTCAGACGATTTCTTCGGCTTCAATCTTATTCAATTCATAAACACGTTGATCTGATTAATTTGGATTTGCGTCCCACTATGCCTACTAAACGAGAAAGAGCTCGATCGAAAATTTTCTCTATTTCATGTTGTAATTTTTAAACTATGTTTAGCTTGCATCCAAAATACATCACTTTCATTTTGTCATATTAAATTATGTTTCTTTTTTCTAGCAAAAGGCAAAAATAGTTAGATAATATCCTCTCATCTATCTAATTCTAGTGAATAGAGTTATTAATATTTACGCTGGTGAAAGGTAACAGATACTCATAAAATAATCGAAGTACTTGCTCAAGGCCAGTTTAAAAGGCTAATTGTAACATTAACAGTTGTACCCCGAGGCGGATGTAGTGTATTACCTACGGGTTCAACTGAACTCATAACTTTCGATGCAGAGTAAAAATTGTTTGTAAAAAATCATTAAAATTGTAAAAATAGTAGATATCAACCCATAACTTTAAAAATATAATGGGTTCAATGTTAAAAACCTTAAAATTGAACCTATTAGATTAATCCCGGATCTTCCTCTACTTCTACCATACTAAAATATAGGACATCTTTTGCCAAAAACAAACAAGTTATAGTTGTTTTACCAAAAACAAGATAAACACTTTTATGAGCGAAATGGAAGGTTAATCCTAGTTAAACTCAATAACTGTCAGATCTGTGAATGTGGTGATAAACGAAAGAAATAAAGGCGTCGTAATATTAAATATCGGACAAAGATACTGACAATGATCGACAATGAATGTATGAGTTGGTGGAATAAATGCATGCAATGGCAAGAAACGTAATAATAGAAGATGATGTGCCTGAAAATCAAGCAGTGATAGCTAGCAACCTCGTTGTCAACGAAACAGATGACGAGATACGTGGATCAGGCACAATGTTCTTGGATCTTGTTTATGAAAAGGTTTCTTTTAACTTTGGAATCAATAGAAAAGACAAGAAGTGTATATTCTTTCAATAGTCAATATTACAAAGTGTTCTTTCTCAGAATTTTCAGATGCCTTTTTCCTCACCCATTTTTCTTATATATAGGGGACATTCTTTAAGGAACCCTAAAAAAGTACAAGGGAGAGAATATTCCATTAGAATATTCCTTCATTCTAATTTAAAGTTATATTACCATTACAATGGGTCTATGATTTCGACCTCGTTCGAATTAGAACCTTCGAACCTTAGTGTAGGCCGACCTATGCTCTGACCTTGGTTGTCATCACTATTAAGATCGATCCAAATTTCGACCAATACAGTTAGTCCCTCCGCTCATCGAGGTCGTGGGTCCCTCGTCCTTGGTGAGCTTGCGTCCGTTATGGAGGAAATTTGGTCGTAACCGGGTAATTAACGTCCGTTTAGGTCGCGACTAACACAAGTGATGTCAAATGATGTCATCATCACACGCGTCATCATTATGCATCTTTCCCATGCAATACCTACATTGTTGGTGCTTCGATTCCTGTGCTTGCAAGCAGCTTTTGGCCTCGATTTTGAGGCCACAATCCTATAAATAGGCGAAGGACTCTTCATTTGAAACTTTCACCGTCTCTCTCTCCTCTGATACCTTTCATCACTTGTGCCTCTCTTCTTCCCTTTCTGCAAATCTTCCTCTTGATTTCTTCATCCCCTTTCTTGATCCTTATTTCTTTTGCTTTCATTGTTTGATTTATTACAATCATCATGTCGGCTTTTCCTTGCAGTCATGATGATATTTTCGACGCCGCTCCCTTGTCAGTAGCTATCCTTACTACTGATGAAGGAATTTTGATTGAGGGAGACGAGAGCTTTCCCTAAGGGACCTAGGCCTACCCCCGAACCTGAACTTTCCAAAATGGGGGAGGCCGGACTGGCGGAGATACGAACTAAGTATCGCATCCCCTCCATATAGAATTCATCCTTGCGGGAAGTGACACGGTCCAGGTTCACCATCTCGGGCGTTGTGTCTTCTACGTCTATCCGCTTACGATCGGCTACACCTTCCCACTTCTCAAGTTGGCCGAAGAGTTTTGTCGCTTTTACAATATTTGTCTAGCACAGCTCTCTCCTTACTGTTATAAGATCTTCCTAATGCTGACTAAATATGCAGAGCTGGCCGGCTGTGGAGTCGACCTTCGCCATTTGCTACACCTATTTTCGCCCACCTTCTTCCGGGGCAGCATGATACACTTGAGGAATCGTGGGACGAAAGCATTAGTGGCCGGGATGGATGACAAGGCGAGTCGGTTATTCTGGCGCAAATACTTCTTCTTCAGAACTGATCAGTTGGCAGCGGACCTGACTGGATTTCCTGAAAAATGGAATTACCACTGTAAGTACTTCCTTGTGCTTTCCGTCATTTCGTTCTTTGTCGTTTTCTGTCCTTTTTGGTTTCTTCACTGCTTCCTCGTTTACAACTGTGAAGTGTTCTCCTTCCATTGTTCTAGACATGGAGGATTGGTTGACTCGTGTACTGCCTCATGTCATGGGGATTCGTGATTGGTCTTCTTTCTACAAACACTATGGTTCGAAGATCACTCCTCGTAAGTATCTTGGTTATCTTGTTTGGTCGAGTGCCTCAACATTTTCTGACACTTCTTATTTGTATTAGGTCGGGCGGCTTCCAAGAAAGCGAAGATACCTGCTCTCGCCTTCCGTCAAAAGGCTGCCTCAGCTATGATAGAGTTCACCTTGGTCGAATCCACGAAAGGCAAAGCTGGGATTCAACGGGTGGAGGGGGCCGCCCCTTCCGATGTGGGTTGTCCCAGGTGATGTCCCGTCTCAGCAAGTCCTTCTTCTTACTGATGAACCTTCTCGTGATGAGGAGCCATCGCTGAGGAAGAGCGAAGGGTGGAGAGGGGAAAAGTCGTGGCCGTCGAAGGATCAGAGAGGGCTTCGATCCTTGGGACGAGGCTGGAGATCTTTCCTGCCGAGAAGACGGACATTATGCCTGAGTATGCCATGGAAGAGAGGCCTTCCAAGGCCGAGGAGATCGATGGCGGCATGGAGGCTGCACAGACTACAAGTGGTCATCCTTCATCAAGTACGAGACGAAGTGATAATTTTGGCGTGGGGGATGTCGATTCGGGTTCCGACATCGAACCCGACGAGGTTAGAGCCTTCATTGAAAGGACGACTCGCATGGAGATAAGGACGGAGGGTCCTAATCGTCACATAGTCATACCTGTGGATTTCAACCTTCTGGTCGATACCGAGCGCGTGGCACCATCGTTTGCCCCTTTGTGTGCTGAGGCCGAGAATAAGACTCTACAGACATTGAAGGATGCCGACTTTTCTCTCGGCATATCTGGGATGGCTCTGCGAGTGAATGTCTTTCTTATGCTTTCATACGCTCCGTAGTGTTGCTTCATTTTGACTGACATTCTTTTTCCCTTTTTGTCAAACTCTGATCCTCGATATTGAGTGTGATCAGGGAGATGAGGAGAAGGTGGCTCAGTATAAGAGGATGGAGTCCAAGTACAGGGAATACCGTTCCAAGTATCAGAAGGTGGTCAGGAGCATCGACGAACGGGTTGTTCAGGGAAATGCATGACGCGATTAGGGGGAAGGACGAGGAGCTGAAAGAGAAGGATAGGGAGCTACTGAAAGCCATTAGCCGGAGTAGCGAGCTAGAAGAGGCGTTGAAGTTCAAGGAGGACGAACTTGAACTGGGTAAGGGAGTGCTGGCTATGAATTTGGACCTCCAAGCGCGAGCGGTATCCTTGAGGATCGAGCTTGATCAGAGTGAGGCGAGGGCTACCGCTTTGAGGTCCGAGTTAGATGCCAAGGATGAGGAGCTGAAGCTGGCGAAGCGATTTTGAACAGCCTCAATAGTAGAAGCGGCAGCCTTGGCAGGGACCCTGCGCGTCTATAGGTCCGAGCGGGCTAATGAAATGGAGACTCCAACGCTCACAGTGGCGAGATTGGAGGAGCGGGTTGGGGGTCTGGATGCGGAACTGGCGATGTTGAATGAGCAGATAGTGGTTCTGAGGGCTGAGAAGGAACAGATGGCCCGTCCGTCTACTCAAAATTCCGTTAATTCGAGCGTGTCGCGAGAGTCGTATGAGATGTGGGTTCATGTCGAGGCTCAGCTGGACATTTTCAGGGCATTGAGGGCCACTGGGAAGATCTCCGAGGAAGAACTTGTCGATGTTCATGCTAAAGCGCGGGCAGCCCGTGAAGCTTGTGGCTATGCCCCTGATTCGCCTGGTGGGGACGATGGTGATGATGACACAGTGGATGGGCTTGCTTCTGATCCCTGGTATGATGACGAATAATGCTGAAGGGGATGACGCGGTTTAGTGCCTTGTGTTTGACTGTTGACGCTCTTTTTTGTTTTTGTTTTTGCGAGGGTGTACTCGGGCCCGTTGTAAAAGAAACGAGTTTTGTAACCAGATCAGCTTGTAATGGAATGGTTACCTTTTGTTGTATGCTTTTCCTTCTTGTTTCTTGCCTTATTTCGTCGTGATGTTATTCTTAGTAGGCCGATCGTCGGCTATCTTGGGGCCAATCTTTGGTCGGTCGTCGAATGTAAATACTTAGAGTGAGGTTGAATGTAAATGATTCGAGCGAGGACGAATGTAAATAATTCGAGCGAGGTCG